AGGGGGGAATGGGGGGGAAATCGGGGGCATCTGTAATACTTTCAACAATAAAAATCAAATAAATAACTAGTTAAAAAGCCCTTCAAAAGAGCAGCTTTTTTTCTATACTATATGGAACACCTAATAAATATGAAGTCCATTATCTTTCTTTGAAACAGGTGTAGTAACTGTCAAAACGATGTGTCAAAATAATCAGGACGTGAAATACCTTTTTGGTGGCTCACGTGAGAGGCAGTATAATTGTCATTATCGAGGTCAACGGCGTCGTTCACACCGTACAACTAAAGGCCGCCGTTAATTCTCGTCACATGGCAGAATTTAAAATTGGGAAACATATAAATGAAGAAATAAAGTTCATATTTCCTCCCAACTCCCTACGGTAGGAAGGTGACCGTGCGGTGCGGTGAACAGTGTCGAGGGAGCAGCGGGGGAAAGGAGAGGCGGGTCTGTAAAGCCCTGGGCTTTTCTGAAATAACGTTTCTCTGCATCCACGCTGAGCCGTAAAGCCGATTCTGTTTACTTTTTAATGAATGCGTGCTGCTGGCGAGTTACTGAAACTGCACCCACTCACCTTCGTATGTATTTTCTTTCCTGTTACGCGCCCACCTGTCCTGTCTGGAACATCAACCAGGCTAACTGTCAGGTAGGTCCTTCTGCACATCTAACGCGATTATTAGGGGAGTCTCCACAGCGGGAACAGTAAACAGGCGGCCGGCGCCGGGGTGCGGGGTCAGACAGAGCGGGAAGGGCACCTGCTGAATGACGCGGAACGTGTCCGCAGCTGCGCGAGGCCGTGGACGCTGCGGACTGAGCGCGTTAAGCCGGCGTGAGCATCTGCCTGAGAGCCTGGCCTCGGGGAGCAGAGCCGCGTGAGCTGCTAAGGCGGGTGGCCTGGACCTGCCAGTTTCGCTGCGGCTCAAAACACAGGCTGCACCCAGGCGGCACCCAGACGGCCTTGGTGTGCCAGGCGGTTTCCTATCCTGTGCGGTCACGGCGATTCCACTGTAAATACACCATCGACTTTCACGGATTTGGGCAGGTTCAGGAAAAATTCACAGCGATGTATTTTAAACCCCTTTTTAAAGTATGTATTTAGACATACCTGTGCCTTGAAGACAGAGTGGCTAGGACAAGGGAGGGGTGGTATCTGTTTTGTTAAGGCTGCACTCGCCCTTGGAGGCAAGCCTGGCAGGGCCCGGCGAGCAGAGGGACCGCCGTTTGAAATTGCAGTAGGAGTTGGTTTCTCCCTTCGGCGTCGGAGAGGGGTGCTCCTTCGCCCACACGAAGCAGCAGGGCAAGCTCTTTCTAGAGCCTCATGTGCAAGACAGACCCTTTCTAAGCCCCAACCACAGCTAAGCCCAGGAGAAGGGAGATCTGCATTTAAATTAGAGCGTGTCTGCTGCGTGAGTGTGTGTGCGCGTGTGTGTTGTTATTGAGCTCATGTTAATCGTTCAAGAGAAAAAATAATGTGCTTCAGTTGCCATGCAACACAGACTGCTCTCACCGCTTTCTAATTTTAATTTCAGAAGTCCACAGAGCAAATGAAGAAGGTCCCTACTATTATTCTTTCAGTCTCGTATAAAGGAGTCAAATTTATTGACGCAACAAATAAGGTGGGTACCGCACCTCTCCGTGGCTTCCATACCAGATCGGTCCTGAGCGTGTGATCTAACGCCCAACATGCCGCATTTCAATCTCTCCCCACCCCCCGAACTCCATGCTCCCTAACACAATTGCGCACGCACACACACACACACACACACACACACTCACACACACTCACACATATTATACAGGAGGGCACGTTTCATTTGGGGAGATTGACCTAGGATTGCTATGCACACTCTGCATGCACTTTTTTTTTTTAAATGTGTCTTTATTGATTTCAGAGAGAGAAAAGAAAAGGGAGAGAGAGAGACAGAAACATCAGTGATGAGAGAGTCATTGATGGGCTGCCTCCTGCATGCCCCTGACTGGGGATCAAGCCCACAACCCGGGCATGTGCCCTGACTGGGAATCGAACCCCGATCCCCTGGATCCCAGGTCGATGCTCAGCCTCTGAGCCGCGCCCGGCCAGGCTGCTTGCACTGTTCCACGGAGCCTTCTCTAATAGACTGTGGCCACTCACTGGATGTAGAGAGCATTAGAACTGGAAAAATAATTATGTATAGAATGAAAATGCAGCGATGGCATCTTTCTCCCATCAAGGGAACTGTCCCCCGGTGAAGGGCTAGAACATCTGCCTTTCTCTTTCTCTAGAGATACATATGCCCTTTCTTTTGATACATGTAATGAACACCTCACACAAGGAACACATTCTCCCGACTTTGGTACTTTATAACTGCGTTTAATTCTCAGCTGCTGAGAAGGAAAAGAATTTCCACTATATTGTTTTCTTAAGAGACACAATCAGAAAAGAAGGCCAGGCCGTGCTGGGAGTCTGCTGGGACTTTGTACTCATGGTGGGCAGAGTTTGGGGGACCCTCGTCAAGTGTGGACAGCTGGGTTGTCTCTAAATTTCCTTTCTTGGCAAAGATGACAGTGCGAGAAAGGCTGGGTGTGAACCTTCTCTCTCCCTAAACTCAAAGCTGACTGGCTCCTCCTCACAAAACCCTCCGATGTCCATGTGTTTTATTCCTACACCTTCCAACTGATGAAGTATAGAAGGAGGGGAAATGAGGTGGGCCCCGATGGTGAATACCATTTGTTTTCTGGACTGCCCACCCAGACCTCCCCCTGGGACCAGGAGGCCTGAAACAGGTGAACTTAATGGTGCCTTAGGATCAGGGCAACTAGATTCAGATACCAGGGCAAGTCCCGTGGTGTCTACACTAAACCTGAGCATCTGAGTCAACCAATTTGAAGTTTTCTGGATTTTTTTTCTGTAATGAAGGAGATTGCTGCACTAGCAGTCAGATATGCCCAAGCTCCCCAAATTTACGTAGGGAAACAACCTCCCAGTTTTAGAAACAGTTCTGAAAACCAAGCAGAAAGCTCATAACCCAGCATGATCGTGCTGGCTGACAGAGTCAGTGCCTTACATGGCATGTTAGCTTCAGTTCTGCAGCGGGCGGGTGACAGTTACTATTGTCAGATCACAGTTGTGGAGACTTAATTAGAAAAATCCCAATTGATTTGCTTTTTTATTTATTGGAAGCATTTTTACTGGTGCATAAACTTACATTATTCTTAAATTATAGTCGGTTGGTTTAAAAAGTTCCAAAACTTTACGGAACTCTCGTTGGTGATACCATTGCTATCTCTGTGTCTAAATTTCAAGAAAGACTTTGGCATTTGGATTTTTTTTCTAACCTGGAGCAACTGTCTCTACCCCATTTGCATTTGAAAACCATGAATAGCAATGTATTTTCAGTGTATGAGCTTGACACTCTCTTAGATGAACAACCTTAGCGGCCTCGGATTCTGACAATTTCTAAACAAGTGGCATTTCCCCTGCAAAGTTCCCGGAGCCTTAAGCTGTCATCCCAGGAATCTGGGGGTACGACCAGATGCGTCTGTATGAATAGCATCCCCTCTGACCCACTCTCCGGGATCCGAGGAACGAGAGCGAGCTTCGTCAGCTCTGTTGCATTTTGCTCATAGACACATCAAGATCGTAGAACTAGATCTGTATGCCTTGAGGAGACATTTCTGCTTCAACGGCCAATAATTAGATAAACCTCTGCTCACAGATGACTGCTCTTTGGAAGTATAAGCACCAAAAGATATGCAAAAGGTAATTTAGGTGACTAAAGGCACTGACTAAAGAAGGCCAGCATTTCTTTTGAGTCCCCGGGGTGGTCCTCAGCATACTTTCAAATCTAGAGCATAGGCAAAGTGTGTGTGTTGATGGCAGGGAGAGCCAACCTCTTTATGACTAGATGACAACATGTGCTTGCATTTTTCAGTAATGTGGGGACATTGACCTCAACTGGCTATCCGGGTTCCCCATCCCAGTGTCCTGCAACATAGCTGATCTACCCCCGTCTGACAGTGGCTAGGAAGAGAGCCGGTGACCGGGGGCAGCAGTCTGGTAGCTGCTTTGTGAGAAGCCTGAGTAGACAGACAGTATTTAGAAGGGTAGAGAAAAGAAATGGTGTGAAGCCCCCCCGGTGCAGTTTGCAGGTGCAAGGCTGAGAAGGGCTGCAGGCCTGGTTTCAGGCGTCATGAAGGACCCACCGTTGAAGGTCCCCGATCCCTCCAGTTGCGGCGTGGAGGGAACTGTGCTCAGACACCTGGCAGCCGGCAGGGCCTGCAGCGGCGTCTTCCTGCGCCACTCTGTTCTGTAGCAAAGACCCACCTCGAACGCCCACAGCAGGGGAGGAGCAGGTTGATAAGCTCCAGGGTCCTGCTCTTGGTCTGTACCGGAGATTTCTCCCCCGGGAAGTGTTGCCTTGGGGGGCACTTCGATTTGGAGTGAAGTTACTTGGGACATGTAGACATACTGGGGACTTTGCAACCTTAGCGGCGAGTGGCCACTGAGCCCGTAATAAGGCACAACCAGAAGTCACCCCTGAACATTCGTACGTGATGTTTTCACTGGACTCCCTTCTTCATAAACAGCCCTCTCCTAACCACCGCAGCTCCCTCACCCTGCCCTGGTACAGCAGAGGGTCGTTCAGCCCGCAGCGGGCAGGCAGAGGAGCCCAGGCCTGAGACCCCGCCCGCAGTGACACGGCCAGTTGGTCTTGCAGAAGGACTGACACTGGACTTGCCACCCCCTCGCCTGACACTGTCTCTGCTGCTCCGCTGCTGCCCCCGCCAGCAGGTGATGGTGTTAGTCAGCCTCCCATTGCCCTGCGCCCCCATCAGACTGTGTGAAAGCTGAACCCTCCGCAAAGCGAGCCTTTCCTTTTACTCTCAGAAGCAAGTGGCTCTGGCTGAGCTCAGCGATGCCTAGTTGTCAACTGAAATGTGTTGCCTGGTAACTTAGGCAACGAATCGCTAATCCTGGGTCAAGAAGGAAGAAGTGGGAAACCATCTTGAGTTGAGAACAGGACTTGGAATCGGCTTAGTGCCAAAATGTTGTCGATGAAGCACAGGAGCTTTGTGTAGACCCGTAGCTCAGAGGCAGCTCCAGCGTGGCCGAGGTGGCACGGGGCCCCGAGGACTGCGACCGTTCAGTTACAGACCCGTCCTCCGGGCCGCAGAGTCTTCCAGAGATGACACGCCCCCACGTCCAGCCCCTGGACCAGGGTGGGCTGCATTTGGCCTCCCAGCCCAACCCCTCACCCATCTTCCCACCCGGCCCAATTAGGAACAAGAAGCAGTGCCATGGTTGGGTTTCTGTGTGCGTGTTTTGAATGCCAACTTCAAACAGAGCTGGCTTATGCTGTTTTTTAGGCACAAATCAATTCCGAATATTTGCCTAAACAAGTGCCTGTTGTTTTTTGGAGTCAAATTAAGGGCCCATCAGCCATGCGTGCTGTTCTCATTAGCAGCGCCCACTCCGCAGGTGTCGCCAGTTAGCCCTGGGCTGGAGCTGCTGTGTCTACTTGGGGGGGCCCTACCTGTCAGAGACCAAAGCGAGGAAAGCAGGGAGAGGCCAGTTTCTGGGCTCCATCACTTCATTATCAAACATCCTTCTCAGAACCTCTTTATTAATTGTCTGGACCCAAAATTCTACTCTACACCTGCCAGCGAGACCCCTCTGTGGCTGTTTCTCAACATGATGAAAGGCAACAGGTGAAAAGACAGCCTCTCCTTATTGAAGGGAGCTGCCCAATTTTCTGTCCCAAAGAAGGGGCACAGTGAGTCCCTCCTGTCCTTCTCTTAAGCCTTTTAACTTAGAATGTGCTTAGGTGCGGAGGCTGAGCGACGTAGGAGTTCACTTTAAACTGAGGTGCATAGCCTGTCCCTCATGATGATGTCAGGGTTTCAGTAGTGGGGTCCCAGGTCCTCACCACATTCTGGCATCGCAGATATATCAAGTTCTAATGAAAAATACTCCTGCACAGGCCATCAATATACATCCATTTAAAGGCTTTTTTTTTTTCAATTACAGTTTTCATTCAATATTATTTTGTATTAGCTTCAGGTGTACAGCGTCGCAGTCAGACAATCATATACTTTACAAAGAGTTCAGCCCGATATTTCCAGTCCCAACCTGGCACCACACGTGGTTATGACAATACGATTGACTGTGTTCCCTGTGCTGTACTTTACATCCCGTGACTCTTTTGTGACTACCAACCTGCACTTCTCAGTCTTTCCCCCTTTGTCACCCAATCCCCCAACTCCTCTGCCCCCTGGCATCCATCAGCCTGTTCTCCGTGTCTATGAATCTTAGCCGCATATTTTAAGTGCCACTTAGGTTGGTTAACATATCAGTTATTCTTAATTGAGCACAGAATATGTTTATTAGCCTGCTTCCCTCCAGTTTAGACCACGGGAACAGAGATACAAGTTTCAGCAGTGGGAGAGGAGGCTGGTTGTGGACGGCGGAGCAGCACAGAGGACAGCCTGGGCGGGCAGTTAAAAGACAGCTCTGGGCTCCTAGGGAGTAGAGAAGTGGGGCTTCCTGAAAATCGGGGGACCACCGAGAAGACATAGGGAAAACGTCTTAGTCCCTTTGGGCTACTATCACAGATTACCACAGACTGGGTTGCTAAACAATAGACGTTTATTTCTCACAGTTCTAGAAGCTGGGAAGTCCAGGATCCAGTGGGCAGCAGATTCAGCGCCGAGGAAAACCCATTCCCTGGTTCACAGGTGGCCGCCTTCCTGCTGTGTCCTCACGTGGCAGAGAGAGAGGGCCAGCTCAGCAGAAGGGCACTAATCCCATTCGTGAGGCCTCCACCCTCGCGACCCAGTCACTTCCCAAAGACCCCACCTCCAAACACCATCACCTTGGTTAAGATTTCAAGACATGAATTGGGGGGAACACCGACATGCAGTCCCTAAGAAAGAGAGCTCTCCAAGGACACCCTTCACCTACTTTAACATTTTCCCCAGGGCCACAATGCTGTCACACACCATTGGAAATGGTCAAGCTTGACATCGTATGATTTGGCAAGATTCAGGGAATTCAGTGCCATAAAAATCACAGGGCAATTTTCCCTGTAATGCTTTCCCAAGAAGTTGACCTACCTTAGGCTGGTAAATGATCTCAAGAACACAAAATGCCAATCTAGTTAACAGTCAGAGCCAATGTTCTGTTCCAAGTGAGACCGGATCCACCCAGACTTCCCAAGGTGCTAACAGCCCCCAATTAAAATGATGGTGGAGCTCTCAGCACCTGCTAACATACCTGTAAAGATTTGTAGATCTTATTATTGTTTAACTCATTTTAAAACTTGTTCCTGATTTAGATTTCTACTTGATGAAGTGCCATCTGAATGCCAGAACAGGGTCATGACCTTCTGTTTTGAACCTGTACCTTGCAATAGAATGTTACTTGTCTGTGGGATTCCAATTTCAATTTGAGTTACATTTGACAGAGAGCGGCATGCAGTGTCAGCAGACAGGCCCCGGTGAAGAATGTCTTAATTTAATTTTCTTTTATGTGTTAATTCTGTAATTGCTTCCCAGCCACACAGCTCAGTAGAGTGAGGGACACGAAGTCCTTGCTGGGGGTGCTGGCAGGGAAGGACATTTTGTACGCGTCTCTAGGCATTGATGGGTGTACACGGAACGTTGTATTGCTGACAGGTTATTTAAGACTGTGCAATTAAAACCTAATTAGGGTAACTAAAGCATTGAGGGTGTTAGATCTATGACAACTGCAGAAAACGTAAACGGGATGTTATAAGATTAAAAAAAAAAAAAAAAATGACTGCACCATTATGTGAAATTTTTTGCTTCTTAAATACATCTATGTATCAAAAGAAGTTTCCAGCAGGGTTTGCAGCCAGTGGTGGTCCTTAGTCATTTTGTGCTTCAGGATAATGGTACTTACACTTTTCCTCGCTCACCTCCCACCAGTTATTCTTAGAGGCAGGTTAGGATGAGGGGACTGGCAGAGAGATGGTGTCAAGAAATGTTACAGAGAAACAAATGAGATTACGTGAAACCAGTGACAGATGGGTGGGGATGGAGGGCACTGCGGACATTGAAGGAGCCTGAACTCTACAGTCAGGCAACCCCCGATATCAGTCTCAGCTCTACCACATGCCTTAGGTAAGGCACTTCCACACTTTATGTCCCAATTTCTCCACCTATAAGTTGATGACAACCACAGCACCACTTATGATTGTGCACAGTGGATACAGTTAGTGAAGTGTCATCATCCCCAGGGCCCCACGTCACGCAAGGCATCCAAGGCCTTTCCCTCCAAAAAGACCGCTCCTCGCCTGGCTGGCGTGGCCCAGTGGTTGAGCGTTGACCCGTGAACCAGGAGGTCACGGTTTGATTCCCGGTCAGTGCACACGCCCGAATCCCCAGCAGGGGGCGTGCAGGAGGCAGCTGACCGATGATTCTCTCTCGTCATTGATGTTTTCTATCTCTCTCTCCCTTCCTCTCTCTGAAATCAATGAAAACATATTTTTTTAAAAAGAGAGAGGGAGGCAGCACCTTGATGCTTCCACCCGCCTGCTGCCTTCTGCACCTGCCTTTGCTCTGGAGCAAGACGGGGCGGGAGGGTGGTACAGGCCAGCCTCCTGGGGCAGAGTTGCTCCCGGCCTGCAGACCGTGGCAGGTGGGCCTTTCCAGACCGCCAGCGGGAGGCCCCCCTGCCTACCTCCAGGGGTACCTGGGGAATGGAAACAGTAAACGATTAGCAATTACTTTCTCTAAAGAAGCGTCTGCCACCCAGACTGCTTCTGTGCGCACCTGGCGGGAACCGCTGCTCCAGGATGTGACTATTTTAGGTGGTTATTAATTAAATGAAGACATTCCTTCCAGACCTGGCATACATATGCCCACGGAGAGTGTGTTGGATCCCTTCGAATGTTGTTGGTCTAGAACATTCTAGAAAGGGAGAAAGCAGCTGCTTCTCGGGTCCTTTGCATTGGCTCCAAAATATGCTGGTTGGCAATGGTCATTTGTTTATGTCATTTCTTCCAGAACATAATTGCTGAGCATGAAATTCGTAACATCTCCTGTGCCGCCCAGGACCCGGAAGACCTCTCCACGTTTGCTTATATCACAAAAGATTTGAAGTCCAATCACCACTATTGTCACGTGTTTACCGCCTTTGATGTGGTGAGTAGCTGCCCTCTTTGGACAGTTTATTTCCCCAAATGCACCTGGAACGTATTGAATGCCCAACTTGCAGTTAAGATACTTGGCACACTCACCAAGAATTAAGGTATACCTAGTGTACGGCATTTTGCAGACTCGGTGTTCCTGAGCTTTCTCTATAGGACTCCACTCCTACCTAGTATCAGACATGTCACTGCTCAGCCACCGACCTCACTTTTCAGAGCTGACGAATTCCTTTCTTTCTCTGGTATCGAAATACAGGAGATGTCTTCCAGTCTCCTTGTTCCTTCACTGTGTCTGTCGGCTTCTCTGGTTGCCATTTCCAAATAGCAGGACAGAGTAGTCTGGGTTTGTTTGGAAGAAAAAGAAATTTCAGTGCCTCATACAATATTTGTGGTTTTCTATATTGAATATCAGTCAGATTAGACAGCTACAAAACATCATTGGGAGCATCAAGGTTGGGTCCGTTGGCTTATGCAAAAGTTGGTCTTGTAACGATGTCCTTATGGGGTTTTACTGCTTATAGTCCTATTTGTGATTGAGTCTCAAAAGTAGTCCAGATATTACAAACTTGGACAATGAAAGGATTTCTAGAAAACAGTGTAGGACGTTCCTTTAATACACACACACAGACACACACACACACCCCCCACATACCCTCAAGATGGTACCAGCTGATTAAGGAGAGCTCTGCTATGGTGCACTGGGCATCCTGTGTTTGAAGCAGACAGAGCAGATATGGCTGTGACCATGAAATAATTTATGATCAGGAGAATTCTAAAATGTCATTTTAATTTGACAATTCTTCTCTGTTAATGTGTTTGGAACATACACAATTAAANTGTCATTTTAATTTGACAATTCTTCTCTGTTAATGTGTTTGGAACATACATAATTAATTACATCGATACTGAGTGTCATATATTCCTGGGAGTTCGGTGTCATGGGTAAGACTGCTTGAAACAGTCTGTTGAGTTCTGGCAAACACGCATGGACCACGGACCACAGTGATGGGGAATTTGCACCCTTCTAAGGCATGTCAGGCTCATGCCCAGAGCATGGACCGTCCTGCATGTGGCCCATTCCTTTCCATCTTTGAGGATTGGAAACAGGAGAGACTGTTCATGTGCCTTTAAAAACTTCCTTCTATTTTGGGAGGCATGGGGAGAATAGCATAAAAGGGACATGTGGTAACAGCGAGGCCTGCAAAGCCAAGCCCTCCAGGGCCGCTCTGAATATCTCCGCATGCATTTCTCCACACGGGATCAACAGTGTTGATTAAAGTCATTTCAGCATGAGGTTTCTGGTGACTTAAGCATATTCTCGTGCAGTGCAGTTGTCTCTTTAAACAGCAAAATTCCCTTCTGTCCACATATGTTTTGGTTTGCGTGGACACCTTTCCCTGTGGCAGTGGGACTGGTGTCAGAGTTCACATCCCAGTGCAGCTCCCTGCTCCCTGGTCTTAGACACAGTGTAGGACGTGCCTGAGTTGATTTCCTTTGTGTGTAACACAGGGCCAAGGATATATACTTCAGGTTTCTAGATAGAAATGAAGGAACATATGTGGAGTGCCTCATAGATACGCGGTGTTCCATGTCAGCCTGTCCCCACCTGTTCTCTCTCCTCGCCTGCTGACATCACAGTTGACAGCCTGGCCTCTCTTCCTGCTAAAAGGCCTAAGATAGATTTGCCAGAAGTGTATTTATGGTCCAAAGTTTTCCCACTGCCCTTGTAAAAGAACTGAAAAAAACAGAAAGCAATAAGTAAATAAAATAGAAATAATGGAAAATATTGACCCTGCAGGCCTCATATTGGTGCATTGCTTCCATACAGTGTTTTTCTTGACTGTCAACATTAATATTCCGATACTTTCCAGGATGAAGTCCAGCCTTTCCTTGAGTATTGCAGCATTTCTTTCTAAATTAAAAATATATAATTTTTCGTCATAAGAGTATCCAAACTTTATTCTATATTCAAACTAAAAAGTATATCCGTGGACCATCTGCCCCCTTGAGTTTTTTTAGCTAAATATGTATGTGACATGGGAATACTGCGATGAAATATGGGGGGAAAGTAGTCCAATGTTTCATTTGAAGACCAACATGCTGTCCCCGAGCCACTGGAAACCGAGTAGAGAATGGGTTCATCGTCTATGGCCTCATCCAGGTGTTTCATTTCAAGTAGATTCACTAGCTTAGGATTCCGGTATCAGCTCCAAGCGATTTTCATCTTATACCACAAAGCCACCGTTCTAATCCTCTCTAGGGGAGCAGTTTGTCTCACTTCAAAAATAGTAACAAAGGCCACCAGCCTTGACCCGGGCCTTTGAGCAATTCTGAGATGCAACAAGCTTTGCTGGCGCTAAAAAAAGCCCTTTTGAGCATGGATTTTGTGTCTTTATGTAGGGCAGCTCAACATTCAGTCCAGTCCTGAAGCCTTAAAATTCTTTTGATACGAGTCAGTCCCCTGGGCTGCCCAAATGGCAAAGAAGGAAAGAAGG